TCTTTCGCACCAACAGAAAAAGGCCATGGAGAGTATCAACTCTCGTCTTGGTTTAGTCGTCAAGAGTGGAAAATACACTTTGGGCTACAAATCAACCCTAAARACTCTTCGACAAGGCAAGGCCAAGCTAGTCATCATCTCCAGCAACACTCCTCAATTAAGGTAAGCTTTTTAACAAGTTGTTATCATGTAGACACTGTTTTACCTGTAGGTACAGTGCAGGGCTTTCAGAATAAGCCAGCAGCTGCSGGAGCTCTGGTGATTGCTTCAAAGTTAACCGCCAGCTACTTTTTCTTTTCTATGAAATACCTTCTGTTACTTGTATTGGATCACAGCCAGCTACTTTAGACTTTTGACCACCTACTCTAAAACATTCTGAAAGCCCTGACAATGACCTTGTTGTTAGGACAAGTCTTGTTTTTGTTCCTAAATGGATATAACAAATGAGAAATTTAGACCAAGGAATTGGCTTCACCTACCTTGTAATAGTCCTTTGTCYMTTGTGCTTTGAGGGTTATTCTCTGRGTTCTACAGATTGCCTTTCTTTACAAAAATCAACCCCTAAATTCAGGACTTAGAATAACAGCTGGGCATTGGAAAATGTCTGGCCAGATCTGGGACAGTCAAATATTTGCCTTGTCRGTCATTTTGACCAGTAACATTTAGCCCGAATTAAGGTATGACTAAGATAAAACGATTTTGGCCTATGATCAACTGTTCCTGCATTATCTGAAGCCCTGAAATTACAATTTGATTTTGCATTTTACACTTTAATTTTGCAAAACTTAGCAAAGAAATGAAAATTACCGTATAASATTCMAAAAAGCTGCCATTTTGTTGCCATGAAGGGAGCAGGGGTAAGGCCCCCTGYCTACGCCCTTGGTATCACTGTAGTTCACAAAGTATTTAGTTTCTAATTAAACGATTCCCTTGATATCACTTTCCAGGAAGAGTGAGATAGAATACTATGCTATGCTTGCGAAGACTGGAGTTCACCATTACACTGGTAACAACATTGAACTAGGAACCGCTTGTGGAAAGTTCTTCCGTGTGTCTGTACTCAGCATTACAGATCCTGGTGATTCAGATATCATCCGCTCTATGCCGTCAGAGCAACAGCCACAATCATCTTAGGCAGAATACTTGTAATGTTACTAAAAATAAAATGAATTTATGAAAAAGGTGGTTTCTTTTGCTTAAAGAAATTGGCAGTGGGTGCCTGTTACCTTTACTCCTCRTGCCTCTTAGCACACAGGCCCTTCACAGAGCTATTCCACCTTTCCCTGTCGGCCATCACAATCCGCTCCTCGTCTTCTGAAATATAGCCTGCCTCTCCTTTCTTGCTCCAGTCTGTCTCCATGTTGTCCTCTGTCTTGTTCGGTGCACTATCTAGGTAATAAGCACAGTTCCTAAGCTATTATTGTGGAGTAGCATCTGAAAAATTATTAATAATCCACAATAATTGCTTAGGAACTGTATTTATTACCTAGTGCACYGAAGAAAGAATTATTCTTTCCTTTGCTTAGGAAACCTGTGGCAAAGCAGGGAGGGGRAGACTGAGTAGAGTGGTGTCCTCTTGTGTTTCTTTAGTGGAGCTGCATCCACTTTTATCAATGCATGTGGGGYAAAGTCCATCTGGGTAGCGATAGTGGTTAATTAATGTTTTGTATTATGTGCTTGCGCGCACGCACATTTCTTTTATTTCTGTGACACTGAGAAAAGTTTGTAAAGAATTTRCGGCCGCGACGAATGATTTAGTTTCCGTCAATCTCGTACCCAGAGCCCTTATATTTGTCACTGCGCATGCTCGTCGAGTTTCCGTTTGAATAGAACACCCTATGCGTGCGGTACCAGTCTCGTGCCCAGAGCTTTGGGTACGAGACGGGTGCGGTACGGTGTTGACATGAGTTTGGATGGTAATTTATTACYAGTGGGTATGTTCCAGGCCGGTAAGCTGCTGCGTCGGGTTATTTTTAAAATAATAAAACTGGGGAGTGTTTTTCTCACACACAACCGGTTTTTCATGATTTCATTTTCTCAAATCAGTCAACGACATCGGAAACGCAATACCGTAATTCACCGGGAAGGGGGTAGGGGGGAACGGGTAATGTACTTCTTCCCAGTTCCATGCATCCAGGGCCCGGGGTACRAARGGTGGATAGCGCTATCAAACGGATAAGGCTAGCTTTATCCAGTGGATAAGTTGATGCTGTTATYCAAAAGATTTATCCATTATTGGATAAGATTTATMCGTCAGATAGCTCTATCCATCCTTCATACAACCTGGCCCTGGGTGATCTAGAATCTAGGCGCGCAATAAGTAAAAGATGTTGTTGAGCAGATGTTCGCTGATTGGTTGATTCGTTCGGGCGGCTGAAACAAGYGGAATCACCTCCTTATGACCCAGCATGTATATTTGGGATCTAATAGTTATAAACGATCGATTTTTTTTCTTTTAGATTGTGGATTTCCTTCTAAGCCTAAGCAGATACAACTGGATGCATATGAGCGGGTGGTATCTTTTCTGATTCGGTCTTGGGTTACAAAGAATATTAAATTAACAAGGCTAATGGARTGTAATGAGGTCGACGGAGGTCGTCCTGGGTTTGTTTAATCCACTCCAGTGTAATGTGAATCATCCGATTTCTTTTGAGCTCAGTTGTACTTTGCTCCCATTATAAGGGACCGACCATTAGAATTTTGAGGGGGGGGAGGTCGGGCAATTTATTCTGTGCAGGAAATTTTTTGGCTGTGCAAGAATTTTTTTTGGGGGGGGGGAAATAATTTGGATTTTTTTTTTCACCCTTTAAAGCTGTGCTCGAATATTTTTTTGGGGGGTTTTAGCCCAACCCCCCCCCCCCCCCTCCTTAAATCTAATGGTCCGTCCCTAACTACTGCGGCATTCACGTCTAGCACCAACTCAACCATATTTGTTGAAGTGTGATACAACAGGTCAAGATCACAGTAGTTTTTTTTTACACTAAAGTTGTGAGTTCAGACCGAAATGTCTGTACAAAGGTTTGTAACAAATAAGCCAGTGTGTTAAATTCGANGATTTATCCATTATTGGATAAGATTTATACGTCAGATAGCTCTATCCATCCTTCATACAACCTGGCCCTGGGTGATCTAGAATCTAGGCGCGCAATAAGTAAAAGATGTTGTTGAGCAGATGTTCGCTGATYGGTTGATTCGTTCGGGCGGCTGAAACAAGTGGAATCACCTCCTTATGACCCAGCATGTATATTTGGGATCTAATAGTTATAAACGATCGATTTTTTTCCTTTTAGATGGTGGATTTCCTCCTAAGCCTAAGCAGATACAACTGGATGCATATGAGCGGGTGGTATCTTTTCTGATTCGGTCTTGGGTTACAAAGAATATTAAATTAACAAGGCTAATGGAATGTAATGAGGTCGACGGAGGTCGTCCTGGGTTTGTTTAATCCACTCCAGTGTAATGTGAATCATCCGATTTCTTTTGAGCTCAGTTGTACTTTGCTCCCATTATAAGGGACCGACCATTAGAATTTTGAGGGGGGGAGGTCGGGCAATTTATTTTGTGCAGGAAATCTTTTGGCTGTGCAAGAATTTTGGGGGGGGGGGGAAATAATTTGGATTTTTTTTTTTTCACCCTTTAAAGCTGTGCTCGAATATTTTTTGGGGGGGTTTAGCCCAACCCCCCCCCCCCTTAAATCTAATGGTCCGTCCCTAACTACTGCGGCATTCACGTCTACTCCCAACTCAACCATATTTGTTGAAGTGTGATACAACAGGTCAAACTATATACATACAAAAACAAAAAATTCTGACACTCTACACAACTGAGCAAGCAGATAACAGTGACGATCATTGACCACACAAGCAAAGTATATGGCACACAGCGTTATTCATAAACCAAGTGAGATCATCAAACCAAGTAGATTTAAAAACAAAAGAGAAACAAATACGTAGAACAACTCAGACAAAAYTCACACAAACCCTAATATGACTCTAGCTTTTTCTAAAAATATTTACGTCAACTTCCCAACGGGGCACCACTCCCCTAAAACAYGCGCTAACAATGAAATGCACGTAGGCTAGCACTAAGCTAAGCGGCTCCGGTTTTGAAGTATTTGAATGCAAACTCATTACTCACACCAGGCTGTTAGGCTGTCCAGAGGCTGTCTATATCTTATATCTGCGACTCAGTGCTGTAATCAATTAATAAAACAATATTTTCATATTCTAGAATAAATTTTATAAATGTGATCGACTATATATAATCTTGTTTGATGACACTACGATAACCTTCCTATCAGACAGCAATTATTATTTTCAACAGGAAATGATCCCCGGGGTTTTCTACAGCTTGTGTCTGAGTTTATAGGGCCGGCATGCCATCTGTCGGCACTGCTCTACAGGCTTCTTATCTTCCTTCAGTCTGAGAGATATTATTAATCCTTGTTTTCCGACGTATACTATTTTTCGGTTTTCCAAAATATCCTAAGCTTTTTTTCTTTTTGGCTGTTTTTCCTGCATATAATAGGGTTTTCCCTATCTGTTGCTCTTAATTTTTCTCTGTTTTTCTCTCTTCCTTTCTTCGATCTTTTCCCCCATTTATCTTTTTCAACGGAATTCCCCACTTTCTATTATTATTTCATTATTTYAATAAAAGTGACCAATTTTTTCCATCTTTTATTTCATATTCGTTTGGTGTCCTTTACTCGGACAATAATCCAACCAAACTAAAACAAAACACGAKTTTTTCGAGTTCTCCTGACAACTTTCAGGCATCTCTCCCGTCATCCATTACGTGGCAACTCCAACTCTTTGTTCGGGCGACATTCGACCGTTCCCGAATAACCGACGATTTTCCTGGCAGCCATCGTGAATTATTTAAAGCTTATGACGTCTTGAACGGAAGTGACGTAAGCGCAGGAAGAGGTGGGACTAATGAAGCCGTTTTGTAGTAGTATCTATAAARCATTTTAATACTCTTGGTGGGAGCGAAACCTTAGACTAGAAACGGAAATCRTCCACGATCTCATCTGAAATACAACTGCCGTTAAATGTTACTCTCAGGCGTYATTGAAGCGGAGCAAARATAACTCGACTACATTAACGTGGGACGTACGAGGAAATTAGGACACGCCACTTTGGCTTGGTGTCGTCTGTGATCGTTGCCTTATTTTGATCTAGCGGATATTCCCTAAATCTTTGAAATTGTTTAGTGCGCTACGTCTCTATAAATCGCTCTGACATTTGGTAGTTGAACTATGGCAAGCAACAAAAACATGACGATCACAAACCAAGTTGTGAAGGAAGGGTTGATTCATAAAAAGAGCACCTTACTGAAACAATGGAGGCAGAGATTTCTAGTGCTCAATCGCGAAACCTTGTGCGTGTTCAAGAAAGAAAGAGACCAAAAAAAGGGCCGTACAGCTAAGGAACGAATATTCCTGATAGATATTACATCGTTCGAAAAATATACGTCTAAGAAGAGAAAATTTTGCATGAGTATTTTAGCAGATGGAAGGAGCTATCATTTCAGTTGTGCTTCTGAAATTGATAGAGAATTGTGGATGCGTGCKATTACGACGGCTCAAAATCAAGAGAAAGAGCTAGAGGAAAATGATCCTATACGAATGAAAAGTATGAAACTAACTGGGGGACTTAAGAGAATCACGATTGAAAGGCAAAAAGGTATGGGATTAGGATGTACTATCAAAAATGTCGGTGGAGTAATCTTCGTTAATCGAATTTTAGAGCAAGGAACTGTCTCGAGCAGCGGAGTACTTCGTCCAGGTGAGATTTACAAAAATATTAAAAATAGAACCTTTCTCATAATTAAAGTTTACTTAAGGTAAGATGTTTTACTTGACCTGAGTTATTTAGAGCCTTTGTGCTAGCTCAGGTTTTCTTTACTCTTGTCCGTTTTYGTTGACATATTTTTTTTCCGCGTTTGTCTTCCTAAAAATAAAAAATTCTCGAAGATAAATTAAAGAAGTCTTAAAAAAGGCTTTATAATCATAAGCTTATTATTTACCATACAAAATATTAGTTTGGCTGTACGTACTGTTAAATGGCGATCCYCCGTGAACATATGGACAATAGATCAATGTTTTTGGATATTATCAAATTTACATATGAATACGAACATTGGTTTTGGTCAAGTTTCCTTAATGGAATAAAAGTTTTCATGTATAAAATCCCTCTTGAAAAAACTTGTATTTCGCCAGATGATTAAAGAATTTACTAATTCGTGGGCAGGTGYCGAGATACGATATTCTAATTTTCTTCTTTGAGACATTAAAAACATCTGCAAGTTCAGCCTCAAAATTAACGATGTTTGAAAGCCTCATGACCATTAATGAGCATTATCTATATGGATGTTTGGAAATTTAATTTCCTTGAAGATAGTATATACACAATAAGTGGGGAAAAAATCGTTTTCTAATATCCTTTAAAAAGAATTTTATTATCATGTTTAAATATAAACTACAGTAATGTTTTTTAAATGTGTGAAGTACAGTATTATATTTGACTAAACTGCGTATCAATTAAGGAGTATTTTTGAAAAATGAACTGTTGATTTTGGATATACATATTCAAAATATTCACCAACCTAAATGTTTTTAAAATAAACTATCATGAAAAACAGCAAAATTAATGGGAATTGCCAAACATTTCAAAAAATAACTTAACTAACAAGAAATATTGCCTACAGTAGTGGATTTCTTTATGTTTTTTTCTCATCTCAAATTTCTACTTATTTTTGCCAAAATTCTTGTAAGGATTAGATGTTTTCTTACAGAGGTGCCAGCGACTTGCAATGGCAAAACCTGCTCAATCAATATCCATGCCAACTACCCTTATAATAAAATTTATTAATGAATAATAGTACTGTATTGTGCTAGTCACCATTGAATGTTTCGATTGTTCTTAATTGTGACATTTGTTGATTGATATGTTTTCCATTCATTACATTTTTACTACACTTTGCAAATAACTATAAATAGCTATTAAACTATAAGCTAAATATACTAATAAATAGATATAGATATAGATATACTTTTGATATGCTTTCAAAGTATATTATTTATACATATATTATATATGAAAGGAAAAGTGATGCCATGCCTGGGTAAAATATAAATTAAACTTCTGATAGCACAAAGTTGGTATTTGGATTTATTGCAGACGTTTTGCCAGTTAAGGCTTCATTAGTGTATTAATTTTATATACGAAATCGCATTTAAATCAGATGGAAACAATAGCCTATGTTCAGCTTCACTATATGTATATATATATATATATATGTATTTATTCATTTATTTAGAGTTACAGAATTTTTTGGGTTAGGTTATATACTACCTTGATCATTTCTGTAAGAAAAAATTGAAAAGGTGTTGGAGAAAATTAATCTTTGAGAATTGAATCTCCATGCATGTAYTGAACATATGGTAAATCTCAATTAATTTCATTGTACACATGTTATATAAAAAAGAAGTAATAATAATAATAAGAATATTTATTTATATAGCGCTAAATCCACTATTGCTCAAAGCGCTCAAATTTAAATGATTGTCTGTCAATTTGAAGTGGTTTAACTGACATATTTTTGTGCATATTTCTAGTTACCTAGGTAGAATGTCAAATGTTGTTCAATTAACCAATCTCATTTAATGAGAAACACATTGATTTTTTATCAAAGAGTCTGAGTCTTTGACTGTACRAAGGTGTGTTAGTCCAAAAATGATTAGAATATTAATCTTTATAGGTGCAGGTATTTTCTGAATTATAGCCAGAAATTTTAGATTTCTTTAAGGACTTGAAAAGCCCATTCATTATGTCTGGATTTTTTCTTAAAATTTTTCCCTCTTATGCCGAATTGGTGTGAGATTAGCATTAGAAACTAGAGGCAATCCATATATCAATACATTTACTCCGACGAAGGACTAACGTCTGAAACGTCAGTTTCTAAACATCACAAACCATACGGTGTATTAAGTTAAATCAATTCTCCTACTGTTCGATTCCAAACACCGATGCGGTTAACTAGTTTATCTAGTCTCTACCATATCAATACATATATGAGGCATTCATACTTTATTAAGAAAAGACATGTATACATGGAGCTAGCTATAGTGTTTACATAATGTCCTTCTGTACCTAGAATTAGCATAGCATAGCCRGAATTTTTCAAAGGGGGAAGGGAGCCAAAATAAAAAAATCCAGCATTTTTTTTGAAATGGCAATCCAAAAAAAGGGCCAGCATTGCATTTTATGTTTCAATTTTGCAAAACTAGGCAAAGCAAATGAAGGAAGGGGGAGGGGGGTGCCTTGTCCTAGGCACTTGAGAATATTACAATTCTGAGAGTCTGCATGAATCATGCATCCATTACATTCAGCATTATTATTTATTATTATTATTATTTTGTTTATTATGATTAAAACCTAAACATTTTTGGGAAAGTGCATTCATTCATTCATTCACTGATTCCTTCCTTCGTTTGTTTGTTCGTTCATTTATTCATTTTTCTCATTCATCTTCCATCTCTTTCTGTTGCATTCGTTCGTTTGTTAGTTCATTCATTTATTCATTTTTCTCATTCATCTTTCATCCCTTTCTGTTGCATTTATTTATCCATGTCAAGCATATTACATTTAAGATTTACTATATATTTTGCTTTGTTACACCGTAACAGGTGACCAGTTGGTCGATATCAATGGGATCGAACTGACTGGAAGAAGCGTAGCTGAAATTAGTGAAATCATCCGCTCAAGCCCTGAGCAAGTCGTCTGTACAGTCAAGCTCGCTACCGACTTCCGGGTGGTAGATACCCATGTTRCACCGCGCACCGACTACGCTGAAATCGACATTTCGTCTCTCAAACCACGTGACGACAGCGAATCCTCAGAAAGCGAAGAATCTGTCCATGAAGACGGACACAGCTCTGCAGAAAACGTCAATGGMAACCCAGAAACTACAGAAGACGACAAGATTACAGCTAAGCCACCTGTGAAATATGAAGAACCGGAGTACGATGACGTCATCCCTGGYAATCTTCAAAAAAGACACTCTTCCCCCTTACGTCACAGCCCTGAAGAATCCGCGAACACCCCGAACCAGCCAAAAAATGAAGAAGGGAACTTGAATTATTTAGAACTTAATTTTCCCTTGTACGACAGACCTCGCTTGAAAAGCGAGCCAATAAATATGCCGACGACAGAAAACAAGAAACCCGTTGCTCCTATCGCTGCCTATGCATACATAGAACTAGACTTTAAAGACAAACCGCAAGCCGACGAATTTACGAAGCTGAATGTCGAGAGTGTCAATGAATAACAGAGAAAAATGTGTGCAAGGAAAATTATTCATACTCACGTAAAACCAGGTTAAATTAGTTTATTAAGAAAAATATTTGAATGAAAACTAATACGATGCTATGAATCGCGATTTGTCTCGTATTTCATAAATAAGAAGTGATTATATTTGATTAAGTAGAAATGCTTTGGGTGATTTGTAAGATTGATATATGATGATAATATGTTTGATTGATGTGTTTTCGTGCTGCCCTGGTTGTTAGCGAATGATTAATTTGCTGTTCGAGATTTTTTTCTTCTTTTTTTGCGTGAAAATGCATTTATGTTGGTTGAATACACAAAGCTGTTTCCGTGTTTGTCTTGCTTATCAATCAACATGTTAGCTATGGCTGTTGGAAGTGGATGCCAAACCCTCCTAAAGAATATGGTTTGTCCAAAGGACGAATTGTTCTATTTCTTTCCGCTGGGGCCCATCATGTGACAATATTCGTAAGCTTATTCGTAAACTTCGTAATACATTCACAATTTCTTTTTTAGCAGGCTCACMCAAGCGATGTTGCGTGATTTTGTTGCAACATGTGTCACCCCGGTTCAAATTTGTTGCGTGCAATGTTGCACCGTGTGTCCGCACCTTAAAAAACGGTCGCGGTGATTTGAAACTCGTTCGAAATGACATTTCTAAAATACTTATTCAACTATACTATATTTAACTACCTTTTAATGGCTTAATTTTTACTACGGAAAACTGCTTTCCCTACAGCTATACTAGCGAGCTAGAGTTCACAAAATGCTCTCTAGGTAATGGCTCGCGCCGTTTACCTTAACAAAGTTGGCTCAAAACTGAGTAAGCAAATCGTACATAAAAAGATACCCGTTTGTAGATTTCTGACAACGAAGTATCAACTTATMAACTATATAAAACTAATAAAACGCGTCGTAATAAAAAGAACCACAAGAGTACAAATACATCATTTTGTGTGTTGTATTTAGAAATTAAAACAGCTTTTTCCGTGCTCCGTTAWCGCGGGGAGGCCGGATATCATTTAACGCCAAGAATGAAGGGCGAGACCTAACAAAGTCTTCTCACATGAGATGCCCAGTCCAGGTATCGAAGCCGAGGCCCCAGAGATGAGAGGCGACTGCACTAYCACTACTCCACCGTACCCTTGAAGCACGTGTGGAAAGCATTGGTGGTTTCGGCTGCTAATGCCTCGCCTCTCATCAATGCTTCAGTTCCCGTCAGTTTACGTGAGTAGAGTTGCTTTTTGGTTCTCTCCTGTGCTTCGAAGGTTTTTCTCCGGGTTTCCCAGTTTTCCTACCTCCTCAATAACCAACCAACTTTTAACTTCAAATTCCATCTTTATCCCCGATCGATTTGAAGCCTGCTTCTGCCACGTGAAGCTCTACTGCGCGGTTTTCGACTTCTGCGCATGTGAACTCAGCCATTGTAACGGCTTGTTGTGAAATCGCTTTTTACTGCCGCCAGTTAAAAAATAAAAAAAGTACCACAAGATTATTCATTTTGATTGATGGCAGCGAAAACAATTCCAGCGTGAAGCTTGCAACTACCATATACCTACTAGTTCGCAAAATGGCAAAAACCGCAGTTACACAGAATTTATGGTCTCCCTGTGTTTTTAGTTCCAGTCGAGGCTAGTGGAAGCCCGTAAAGCCTGACGGGATTTCTTGTCGAGTGACGCAAACGAGAGCAAGACCTCAGCGTGGAGAACGTCTAACCCATTTTTGAAGAAAAYCCTGTGTTTCCTTCAAAAGTGTGAGGTCTCATTCCCGTTTCTCCGGTTCATTCTTTAATCTAACACACATTCTTTCTTACTGTTGAGTTATTATCGGACTTGCTTCCGATTTAAACGTAATTTTTGCCCTTGTAAATCTTGTGGTGTCGGATTCTCTTTCATTCATCGTTTAGTCAGGATTCTTATTTAAATCTGCTTGTTTTCGGGTTTCAAAATGTCTCAAAAAACGCCTATAAGTTTAATGAACGAGTTAGCAAAGGCCAATAACCTTGAACCGGAGTACAAAGTGATCGAGGAGAAAGGTCCWGCTCATAAGAAGACTTTTCGTGTCGAGCTCAAAATGGGCAACGTTGGAACATGGGAAGGCACTGGTGAGTCCATCAAGAAAGCAARACATGATGCTGCCTGTAGAGGCCTTGAAAAYTGTGGCCTTTGTATCCCAGAGAAGCCAACAGTAAGGGCAGTAAATCTCACTCCCACTGTAGARTTGAATGGGCTGGCAATGAAGCTGGGGAAAGGTACTCAGTACAAAGATCTTCCACCAAAGCCTCTACCGTCTCACACRCATGGTCAATTYCCTGGACCAACACAGCGTCAGATGAACCCACGCTTCCGTGGAATGTCAAACATGCAGCAGGAGTTTAATAACATGGGGTACAGYATGCAGCATAGACAGTATGGACAGTATAGTATGTACCCTCGGCAAGCACCTAGGATGATGAGAGTGTCTCTCACTGTCGGTGACCAGGAATATCTAGGAGAGGGTCGTGATAAGCAGCAAGCGAGGCACAATGCTGCCAAGAAAGCAATYGAGTTACTCCGAGAGGAATTACAGCTCAAGATAAATTCTAATGCCATGGCAGCCTCTACTAATCAGGATTCCAAAACTGACAACTCTAATGCTCCCAGTAACATCAGTAACCCTACTGACGTTGAGCAGGAGGACCARAAATCTGAAGTCAGCCTCGTCTATGAGATTGCAACTCAGAGGAAGTTGTTGGTTGATTTCTCCGACATCAGCAATGTTGGCCCTGCACACATGAAGAAGTTCCGTGTCCGTGCTACAGTAGGTCAGTTTGTGACKGAGGGAGAGGGGCAGAGGAAGAAAGATGCCAAAAAAGATGCCGCAGTCAAGATGTTACAAGAATTGAAAAAACTTCCAGAAATTCCTGAAGCGGATTTAAAACGACAGAAAAATGGCCATTATTCCAGGCGTAATGTGAAGGGAGGCAACAAACCAAAACCTAAATCTGACCTTGATCCTACACTGAATCCAATCAGCATCCTAGGTCAAATTCTTCAGGGGCGTCACGAGCCGGCACCTGTTTACAGCTTGGTTGAAGAAAGAGGACACCTTTCAAAGAAAGAATTTGTCCTTCAGGTAAYCGTTGGAAATCACAAAGCTAGTGGTTTTGGACCTAACAAGAAGACAGCTAAAAAGAATGCTGCTGAAGCCATGCTTGAATTGATGGGATTCAGACCTACCAAAGAAGAGAAACTAGCACAACAGGTAAGCATATGGCTTCACGTTTAGACATGATATTCTAATTCAATCCGTTGGTTTGCTTTGTAATTGGGTCCTAGACCCGTAAGGCTTTCAGTCCACCTCAGAGTRGTAAAAGCTGKAAAAATKTWAAWTAATGAATGTAGGATTTCAGATAAAGCTAGTAGATTTTATGAAAATATGACGTTCTGGCTATAATTCATTCTGATGAAGGCACTAGTTGTAGCCAAAAGGGCATGTTTTTATCAAATCTACTCGTTTTATCTGAAATCTTTCACTCGAAAGCATATGGATTCATTTTGGTTTCACATCACATCATTCCAAGCATAGTATGACCAAGAGCTGCATTTGAATCTTTTGAGAATCTGGAGAAAGACCAATAACAGGGCTACCACATTTAGTATGAGTAATGGCTAACAGCCAATCAGAATCTATTATATATAATCGCACAATTTGCGGGGGGTCTAGAACAAGCTTTCTGGCGATGTTTCGCAGACGGTATTTACGAAGAAAATTCCAGATGTGACGCAGGCTAGCCCAAAGTGTTGTTGGTGTATTGCTATATTATGGAATGCTGTCGCTAGTTAACTGTCCATTTATCTATGGAACTCTTTCACAGAATGGTCATAATGGCAACATTACCTCTGATGACAGCAGCAATCAATCAAACAACCTCAGTCGTCAGCTAAAACCAGGGCTACTACCCATGGTACCTGAGCTAGCCAAGCARTTTGGTCGCAACCTGAACCCATTGGTTACACCAGCGACAGCAGTCAAGGATGAAGAACCTGAACAAGTACAAGGGATATTGAATAGAGCACCCGGTGCTCCTGTYGGTAACATGGTCAATTCTACTGGCAAGCCGCAGACAAAATGCCAGCATCTGATGCAGTTAGCAGAAGGCATGGGATTGAGAGTGCAGTTCACTAACTACCCCCAGGTAATCATCCATAATTTTATATTCATAAAAAGACACGGTGATTATTGAAAATCTTATGCGCTGATTGGTCTAGAAACTCACACTATCACACAATAATCACTTCCAGCGATAATCCAAAATGGCAGCCAATCGCTTTGTTGCTGTTACCGGGAAAAAATGCCTTTTATCTTGTTTTTTTTTCTCCTTTTTTTTGAAAGAATCACCTGTGTATTTATACTAAAACAATTATTTGCCTCAGCCTCAGTGAATATCGGAGAATATTTGCCTCACCGCTTGAAGACTCGCGCCTCAGTAAATATTCCCTGAAATTCACTTTGCCTTTGGCGAATAATCGTTAAATAATAACTTTTATTATTAAACACAGAATTCATGAAGTTGAGGAAACTTATTTACACTGAAGCTTCGTACAAGATCAATATTGGATATACATGCATGATTATGCCACATATTGTAATTAGGAATTCTTGATTTCTGGAAACTGTTGAGTGGGGCAAATAATATTCTAAAAATGAGGTTTCTGTTAAGATAAATTATTTTCACTTGGAGTTAATTTTGATGATGGTGCTAATTGATTTAAAGAGGTTGTGGTTACTTGATTGATTCAAATCAAAAACAATTTATGTGCAAATTTTTTCCTTTCATTTTATATTGCTTTTTCAGGCATCCCAGCCACTTTTTAGACAAATTTGATAAGAAATATAGGCTGTGCAGGTTCTAAATATAGGAAAATATAGGATTTTTTCCCAAAAATATATGCACTTTATAGGAGCTAAGATAGCTTTTCAGTGGCGTAACCTGGGATCGGGTGGGTGCACAGGCAATAATTGGCAGAACTAAAAAGCCATAAAAAAAACAGAACAAAAAAAAAAAGGGCCATTTCATTTCCTTCGCCAAATATGCTAAATAGTGTAAAATATAAATGTATCAATCAGCAGTCGTCCTATTTATAGGAAATATAGGTTTTCTTTAAATATAGGCTCTTTATAGGATCCTATACAAATTATAGGAAATATAGGATATATAGGAGGTCTGGGATGCCTGCTTTTTATTCCACTTCATTCTGCAGAGTCTCTAATGTTGTTAATCTGTATTTTTTTCCTGTAGGACATAAAGGGTTCTAAACAGTTTTCTTCTCTYGTGAATGTGTCGGCCAACCCACCCCTTACCTTCTATGGATCAGGTTTCACGCCTGAGATTGCAGATGAAGATGCTGCCAACAATGCCCTGATGGATTTACATTCTTTACACGTAAAACATGATGGTGAGTAACACCACAGGCCCAAGGGCAGATCCAGGGGGGCAAAGGGGGGCTGAAGCCCCCTCTTCAGCAGAAAGAAATTATGCTTTTTTATATTGTTTTCCGTTGTTTTGACGGAAGAAACTCAATTATCCCCCCCTAAACTCAAATAGCCCCCCCCTAAAATTTTGGCTGGATCCGCCCTTGAGGCTGGTGGTTGTCAAAAATTTAAAGTGCATGTCAAGCCTACAAGAACTCTTCTTGATGTCAAAGCTCTCATAAAATAATAACCACATAAGATCCAAGGCCTGCTTGTATGAAGCCTGGATAGCGCTATCCAGCAGATAAATCCTTATCCAGTAGATAAGTCAATGCTGTTATCCAATAAATTTATCCATTGAATAAGATTTATCCGTCGGATAGCGCTATCCAGGCTTCATACGACTGGGCCCTGATGGATAAATCCTTACCCAGTGGATAAGTTGATGCTGTGTTATCCATTAAATTTTTACACTGGATAAGATTTGTCAGTTGGATAGTGYTATCCAACTTCATATGACTGGACCCAGGCATTTTGAGGTAATAGACAATTTTCGAGATGCACAAGTGTAAACATTAAAACAAGGTATTTTCGGGCAGTGGGATAAGAAACCATTGGAAACCATAGAGTTAAAGGCGATTTCTAAAACCTATGAAGAAAGGTTTTGTCTGAAGTTGTGCCCAAAAATGCTGTTTTGAATCCGAGCACGCGATACTTTTGAAAGCACTTGCACATCTTGAAAAAGGTCTACCCTTACTGATGTATTCTCTTAATTCATGGATCCTGGGTTTACGTCATTATTTCGTGATTTCTAACTTGAATATCTTGTCAACCAAAGGATATATCAAAAAGAAAGTATAAAAGCCATTATTTATTTTATTAGGGCTTTGAAATTTAGGAAGAGATCCCATAGGTGTAATATGTACTTTAACTCTATCAACGGTTTTAACTAGTCACCAACCACAGATTCTTTTTCATGTTTGCATTTTTGTCTCTTTGAGTAATATGATGTTATTCATATTTTATAATTCAAGTTACGTATTTAAATTTTGTAAGATGTTATGCACTGTTTAATAAACGAGCAGGAGTGTTTTATTGGGAATAAAACACGAGGCGCAGCTGAATGGTTTTAGACCCGATAAAACATGATCTGTGAGTTTATTAAACAGCTTTAAAAACTCATTATGTAAGTTCTCATATTGTACCGAATTCTTTACGAAATGAATCAAGTTTGATCGAGAAAATCCAAGTTAAAGTTTATACAAATAAAGACGAATCTATATCAGATATAAAACCTCCTTCACGGTCATGATTTCTATTGTTTCCTTCATGAATTATTAATGAGTTTCCTAAGTGTGTGAATAAATAAACAGGTCAAAACAGGGTCTTTCTCTGCAACAACCAAATTGCATTAACTCAGTGAAGCATAATCCCAAAGGACACTCAAATTTCTAAAGATTCCCATTTGCATATTTTTTCAGTTTGGTGACTAGCTTTTGGTACATTATTTTGTAAGATTTCTCTGACCATTGCCACTTCTAGCCATTAGTCATTGTCCTTGAGTTCCAGCCCCTCGACATAAACTAGCTGTATTTTTGAAAACCATTTTTTTGATTTCAGGTTTAGGTCAAGTCGCTGAACAAATCAATGGTAGTGCCGCTACAGATCCAATCATCCCTACTGAACCAAGCGATAAGCAACCTGTCGTTTTAGCTAATGAATAAAACACGCACTCCTGCTATAATCCTAACTTCTAAACTTCTCTTAACTTGTATCTCCTTGTGTTTGCAATAAAGAATGTAATCTCAATACACAAGTTGTTTTGGGTTATCTACATGTTTATCTAATTATACCGGGGTTATAGTGCAACTGTTGTAACCGGGGCCACTTAGACCAGTTAGGTAAGAGAACCAATTAAAATGTAGAATGCAAACAATGCATTCCAACTTTGGGTAGTCAAGCCAATCAGAAAACTAAACTGCACAAGAATAGCAATATGACCCTGATGTTACGTGTAAAGATAGCTATTGTCATTTTCTTGTGGGAATAAAAAGATACGTTGAGAGGCTATCGGTTTATGCTGCTTTCTGATTGGCTTCAGTTCCCAAAGTTAGAATGTATTGCTTTTATTATACAATTTGATTGGTTCCCACTGTCTAAGTAGCCACAGTTATATTAGTCAATAATTCTTTTAGAGGTGAATCAAGGGTGACGTAGCTGTATAGTATTCATCACTCAGTTTGATTCCTGGACTCGGCATCATGTGAGAAAGTTAGTTTGGGTCTCCCTTGAATCCTCCCATTTTCATTCCCTCCTCAAACCAAAAATGCTAAATTTAAATTCGATCCGTGAATTAGCCATGCCCCAACTTTGATCACCTCGGAGGTCATTTTTTATCTTTAAGTTGCTCTGAGATTTATTCAAATACAAATTTTACATTTCAATAAAAATTGCCCTATTGGTATGAATTTAAAATCCTTCAATTATTACTTACAACGGAGATAAGAAATACATGCATAATGAATTACTATTCATATCGTTATATATATTCTCCTACTTTTAGACTGCTACACTTTTGAACAACTTGTATTATATATTTGATCAAAATCATTAGCTTTAAGAGTTGGCACTAGCTATCACATAGCTTCCCAAGTRCTATTGSTTCAGAATTGTYGCATTTTTCAGTCRCACATGAACTTGTACAAATTGTATRATTGTATAATTATGGGCTACAWGCACAGTGTATCTTCATCCTTTGGGAACACAGGAAAAATTCGAAATRAGTGAAAGAATTTTTCCCTGGTTTCCCAAGGATGACTGTACTTTTTAAAATAATTATGCAAGTATTGGGGGCACAACATTTTGAAACCTTGCAGAAAGAACGAAACAATCCCTGAGTTATTCATGAAGGCATGGCAAAGAGTTTTTCCATCACACTGAATTTTGGGATGACCACGGAAATGTTTTGGCCTAATGAATCATATCACACAGGTTAGTACTGACTACATGAAATTGCACTATTGATTGTTAAGTATTTATTATTGATTATAACGTCCTGAAATTCAAACCCAACCCAAACCCACAAAAAATCTAACCTTAAACTTTATTACAGAATAGTGCCATTTCATGTATTCTTAAATGAAGTAGATGTCTAGCATCGCTATCACACGACTTATTTGGGTATATGATCACAAATCACACAGATAAATTTGGTGCTTTCATGCTTCACGCAGAAAACAGCAACAGAGTAGAATGAGGGGCTTCCTCRAAATGTTTCAAAATGTTGACCCCAAATGAAGTCATTATTAAATAACAGGTGCCTTAATCAATAATGAGGATTATTATTATATTTCCAAAATGTCTGATAAGTACAGTTTATATGATTATTTATAAATTATTTGTTCTGAATAATTTTTTTAGGTATATGGATCTATCAACCATTTTTTATCCATTATTAATCAATTATTGGCCTTTTCTGAGGGGATAATATTGACATGAATATTTACAACCATAAAAAGGTGGAAAAAGTTTTGCAAAAATTTGAGTACACCCTCCCCCTCTTGACTATAGCTAACTAAGGAAAAATGTACAATAGACTTTGACAATTAAGATGGCACTAACTGGGGACTTGGGACTTGGGCTAATAGGTCACTCATGTTCCTACATCATAATACCCTCCTAAGCTCAGACCCCCACCCCCTCCCCCCAATATATATCCCTGGCTTGAAAAAGTATCCCCCTTTGAAGATATATGGCTATTTTCTGAAACCCCACAGTAAACCCTCGAAACCCTCCCCACCCCTTAAAAATTGTAGTCCCTCCATGTGGGAAGGTTATGGATATATTGAAAACTACACAATATACCCTCCTCAGACCCTACCTACCCCTTTAAAATGCTAATTTTCCTCCGTGGGGCAGGACGTATGGATATTATTTTAAACTCCTCAGACCCTCCCTACCCCTAGGAAAATGCAACCCCTAATTATGAAGTAGGTATGGATATTTTCTGGTACTGTGCACTATACCCTCCTCAAACACTCCCCACCCCCTAGCCTTGGGAAATGCAACCCCTGATCAAGAGGAAGGTATAGATATTTTCTGGTACTACACAATACACCCTCCTCAAGCCCTCCCCACCCCTTGAAAAATGCAACTTCTGATCAAGAGGAAGGTATAGATATTTTCTGGTACTAYACAATACACCCTCCTCAAGCCCTCCCCACCCCTTGGAAAATGCAATAACTCTTTGTGTAGGAAGTATGAATATTATCTGCATGCAATATCAYTTTTCGTAGCAAGGAATTGAGAAAGACTTCATATTTATAAATTATAATACCATAAGGTTACAGAATAGTGACCTCTTCATTCTCATCTTCTCTCTTAACAACTCCGTTTACTGCATTGACATTAATAACCTGAGATGGTGGTGCTAGTTTGGTATTGTCTTCATGATCACTCATAGCTATTTCCATTTCTGTTGCCATGGAGTTTTCTAGCACCTGATCAAGAGGTAAGCCACCTTCATCTTTGGGTGCTGTTTCRGGGTGTGGAAGCTTGTAGAATTTCCATGCAAGAATAAACGATATGGCTGAAAGTAGCTTAAAAAGACTGCCCAAACCAAACATAACATACCTGTAGAGATTATAAAACACATGCTTTTAAAATTAGCAATAAAATCCTGTTCTAGACTCAGAATTTTTTCTGAGTCTTTCGATTTGCAGCTACATTAGTTGCTTGATATACTACGAGAATCAGATCAATTTGGTACATTACAACCACAGTACAAATATTTCACATATATTCTCATATACACAATAAAATKTATATATAGGACTGGACATCATCTTCTAGTTGATTGAAATGTTAGATTGAATTAAAGACTTTAATCCATAATCCTCTAAACAAATWTTTTTTTTTTAAATTGTGTAGTTCTATAAAATATCCATACCCCACCCACAGAGGAAACTGGAAATTCTAGGGGGGTGAGGTTTAGAGAAAGAACAAAATTACAGAGTTTGTATGGAAGAAAATTGGGAGTTTCTGGGGATAATGGGATCCTTTTACATTGGGGGTACAGATATTTTCTGGAACTACACAATGCAGTTCTTTGCTTAATGGTCATTATAATGCTAATAGGCGAATGGGTAGCGTGGGTCGTGCTTAAAAGATAATGGTAATAATCCAGCTTTCAGAGAAATTTCCATTCTTTACCTGAATTTATCAGTATCATATTCCAAGCAATTTCTGTCAGCACCTTCATCACAGGAATCTTTCTGTGAAATACGACATGTTGTGTCGATAACTGCACCGAAAAGGGTTGGTCCAGGAATGAATGCAAGTATCCTGACAATCAATTGGTTGATACCAAGACCAAAAGATCCTTGACTCTCTGGAATACACCTGTACAAGTAAGATTGGTAGGGATTAAAATAATGGTGATACGTCGCCAGTCATCATACCTCATTTCTGGCTCAACGTTACRGGTCAAAATGACCAGCATGGCAAAGATTTGACSAGACAAGTGTCAGTTCTGACCGGACGATGTCTGGCCCTTATTTTAAGCCCTGATTGGGGTTCCAAATYTTTGTATTTTATATCTGAATATACTCTGGGGCAAGCCCCAAAGAAAATTCYAAAAATGTGGTTTCCAGAAATGCTATTTCTTGTGTTTCATGGATATTTGCACCAAAAAAGGTTTACAAAAATCCCAAAGTAAAAGATCGAAGACAGACAGGCAGAAAGRCTTTCTTTATTTGGAGTTTTGCACTATYGTGCAGTACATCGACTTCAGTCCAAATATAATGAATTACACCATGCCAATTAACTAATTTATATATACTATAATTAGGTTTCATTTAACAATATCGTACTGATTTATTGAATGTATGTCCCTCCCCCCCCCAAACCCCTTCTTCATTTTCAAGTCATATTTAACTCACCTTAGAGTTGCCGTTGTGGCAGGAATATTATTGAGGAATGTCATAACCATCAGAACAAACAATCCTATCATGTATGGATTAAAGGAGTTACACTCTGGTTTACAACCGCTGCCCTCTATGGCTTGACTTGTTTGGTCTGCAAAACAGCTGCAGTTTCTATAAATCTAAAATAAAATAATAAAAAATTAGATAATCATTAAAAATGGACACCATAAGAGAAAAGAGAATTCACTTCATGGTTGAGTGTGGTAAGGTTTAGGGATAGGATAGGCATTCGTAATAATGTCTGGTTCGAATCTTGCCTGCCATTGAATTATTTTTTCTAAGAGAGGAGAACCAAAATCCTCAAGTTGGAAACCTATGACACACTTGGTTAAACCGTACACCATGATGCTAACCATTCAAGCAAGTACGTAAAATACAGTTTCAGATCTTAACATTGACAAAAGGAGAAAATGGTGTTGGATGGGAAGTTTCATTTTGACACAATTACTCTATTTAAAGGATAAAGTCACATCATGATCTGTTAGTGCATAATGGCCAATTTTGATAGACCTTTTTACCTTGGCATAATGTTTTACCATTTAAGACCATGTGTCATTCCCTAGAGTATCATTTCTTTGTTTAACAGTTGTGCATGAGAAGACACATGAATATAGAAACAACACAAACAAAGAATCTTATTTCTCAAGACACCTGGTCTGAAATGTGAAAACATTGAATCAAATCTTAATAAAATCATAGAAAAATTTTGTAAACAAAACTCACATTTCCATCAACCCTGTTTTCACTAGTACATCCTGCAAAGCATGGCGAATAGTAAGTGATTTGGTCATTAGTAGTACATAGTGGTTTATAATGTGTTATACTACATCCACAGTGAGCATTACATGATGCTGCCATTGTCCCTAGTGATGAGCTGAAATAAAATACAAATTAATAGGTGTAAAAGACTATTATCAAATTATTTGATTATTTGCTACAATCCCCAATTCAAGGACCCAGGCCCGCGCTATGGGTGGTTTGCTCGTTCAAACAAAAAACCCTCCCCCTCCCCAATCTCCCCCTTGAAAGAGTTGAGCGCTATTTTAGTTTTCCAAGATATGGCATAACTAAGATTGAACCTCTCCTTTCAAGGTCCTGGTGACAGGTCTGAGAACCAAATACATRGCAGTCATTTTGGTATAGCATTACTCATGTGACCTATAAGCCTTTGTTTTTTAATGTGCCAAATAGAAATTGATTGGCTGGTGATCGACACATTGATTGAGGCAACTTGTGATAAAAAATAAYATAAGAAATAAAGGAAACAGTAAAAATATAATAGTACCTGTTAAAATATGGTGTARTTACTCCTGCAAAATCTCTGTTTGGACATCCAAATAATATTACAAAAACACAAATGAAAGCAATGGTAGCAATAATCGAGCAAGCCTTGAGAATCTGAGCACAGTTCCACTTCATCTTCTTGATCAAAAAGCCACCAGCGAACATCCCTATGCTACCTCCGGGAACTGTCACTAGCCCTGTATAAAAACTAGCATCAGAAGATGACATCCTAAACTGTGCCTCGACAAATTTAGGTGAATATGTTGAAAATCCTGTGACTGCCAACCCTTCAAAAGCTGCAGCCAGAGCTAGGAACACAAAAGTTGGGTTGAGTAAGAGGCTTTTTAAGGATGGTAGTAACTCTTTCAGTGTGTGTGGTTTGTTTGGGTCTTCAACAGTATCACTTAAAGCTCTCTTTTCTGCACGGATAATAGCTGTTCCTGGGAGCTCTCTTGGGAACATTAGAAGTGGAAGGCTGCACATCAATGAAAGTGAACCTCCAAAGACATATCCAAGCCACCACGCACCAATAAAGTTGAAGTCTGTTTGCTTTAAGTTTACTCCTGGTGGCTGAAGTAGAAAAAGATCTAAATCATTGACGGAAAAGAATTCTCATTTACAATGCTGTTTGATTTAATTTATCCAAAAAATAAAATTGGTGTTCGCTYTATAAGAAGGTTAGTGACTTAATATAGCCATGGAGTATCCTGGCTTTTAAACAAACATATATTGTGGCCCTCATCTCATGATTAAATTGGAATAGACTAATTCACCTTGGTGCRACGTTTTCCTATTTTAAACCATGTCATTCAAAAGAGATCCTTTCTTTGTTTAACAGTTGCACATGAGATGACACATGAATATGAATACGACTAAGACAAAGAATCTAATTCTCTAGGGAATGACATGTGGTCTAGAATGGGTAAACATTGTATCAAGATGAATTAGGTCTATTCAAAAGTTAAAGCATATAAAGCAATTGGGTCATAACCCACCATATCAGACCTATCAAAAAATTAACCAATATTATCACCCTCTCCCCACAAGGGATTATTGTACAGTGCCTGGTTGTACAAAGCCTGGATAGCGCTATCCAATGGATAAGTCTTATCTAGTGGATAAATTTATTGGATAACAGCATCGACTTATCTACTGGATAAGGATTTATCTGCYGGATAGTGCTATCCAAGATTCTTAMAACCGGGCCAAGAATGACAAAGGCTAGCATCATGTTGCAGTTCACATGCCAGTTCACTCAGCTGATAAAAACAGTCTTTGAATCTCATTATCTGCTCAAAATGGTGATCAATCACTGTCAACCACCATGTGCTGTCAGCCAGAAAGAATGCTATTGAGAATGTCCCGACTGCATACATAGTGAGCAGATTTGAATTTTGCTTCCTCTTTTACTTGTGTTGTACTTGACTGTCCCATCAGAAAACAATTTCTATTTCCCATTACTACCATATGGACCCTAAAATATCCATTCCCTCTCCCCCTCCTCCCACAGGAGATTTGTACAAGATCCCCATTAAATTCCCATTAGATCCCCATTAGATCCCCATTAGATCCCCATTAGATCCCCATTAGATCCCCATTAGATCCCCATTAGATTCCCACTACCCAAAAAAATTTTTTAAGAAAGTAATATAGTCTCATTAAAAAAACAATTTGTCATCTTTGCCAATCACTACCGCAAGTACAACAATGGCTCAGCTCAATGGGGTCAAACTGAAAGCATGTGAAGGCGCCTCTGACAGCTGCTATAAAGTCCATGTATGACCCAGGAGCACAGCTCTAACCAGTTTGAATTAGCTAGGGTTGATTTGAGAGGATGGAGGAGGCGAGCGAGTTACCACAACGCCATCCTCTCTCCCTGTTAGACAACATATTGGGATGAAATGAATTGCCTGAAGACAATAAAACTGGCTGCAAATGGCTTCTGATAATCAAAATGCTAAATATCATTACTCTTATTATACCTCTACAGGGTACCGGACAAACTTTTTAACGGTCAAAAAGTTGTACATTTAGGAGTTCCATTGGACTGAGCTACCTGAACAAAAATTTGAACGCCTGCCAATGTAAAAAGAAAGTATTTTCGTGTAAATGGCATATATGTACAGGGCAAATTTTGACCAGTTAAAAATTTGTCCAGCACAGTGTAAACGCAGCCTTATACTCCTGCTTTTTGCCATACCTGCTTTARATCCACAAATATCTCCAAGAACTTCCCCCCAAGTAGGTATCCAATAGCAGGACCAATAGTGGCGACGGCATACATTATACCCAAAAACAGACCAGATGTTGTGTGTCGAACATTCTCATCAATGTATGCTGGTCCTAGGACATATACCGGTGTCGCACCAACACCTATGAAGAACTCGGCAATGATAAATGTCAAAATGATGTACCAAAGTGAACTCCGGCATATTATGCTGTCTGCCATGGTAGTTGATGTAGTTGTGTTGAGTTGACACACATTATCACCATTTGAACCAGGAACGTAATCACCTACTAAGATATGAGGAAGTGCAAATAAAAAGCACCCTATACTCAATATTACTGCTCCTCCACCAAGCCATTTCGGCTTGTGATGATGACCATAATAGCTCACGATAATAGCCATCAATGCAGCTGCAATATCGTAACAACTGGTGATGGCTCCAACTTGACTCGTCTTTAGATAAAACCGTTTCTCCAAAGATGAAATCACTACCCCCGTGAGACCAGATACGATCATTCCTTGAGACAGAACTAACCAACACTGGAATACTAAAAACCAGCTCGGTTTAGCGAACTTTTGAAAGAATGTCGGCCTCCATGAAATAAGCCCACAGGTGAATTCGCCGGCGCTTTCCTGAAGGGTTTCTTTATCCGAAGTTTTTCCCCCGATTCTGGCATAATTCATTTCGTTCATGTCACAATCTTGAGCTGCGTTCGAGTTTCCCTTAACTTCGTCGATACCGTCCTCCATCTTGAATCGTTCGAGGAGAGAAAGATCTTAGCTATAATGTAACACCAGTATAAGTTCTGTGTAAACAAGAAGCACCATGTATATTACAAAGACTGAATGTATTTCAATTAATATAGACTTACAGCTTACCTTAAAACTCTTACAACATTCATTAATCATCAATTATACGAAAAATTTCCTAACATTCTAACAAACCATTTATTTACTACTTCCATTCTCTTCATAAAGTAGTACAATTTCCGTTCTGATCGACTTCCCCGATATCAAAGTTGAGTAACTTACGTCTATTCCGGTGAATGAGTGACGAACTTGTCCAGGATTCTCAATCCAAACCTTTCGGAACGAGCCAAGTTAGTTCTAAAATTTCCGCTTCAATAATCGTCGTAAGATTAACTTTTAATAGCCGTGGCCTTGTTATCACCTTATAACCGCAAACTTTTGTTTTTCATATGAGTAGCAGTGTTCTTGATAAAGATTCGAGTGCAAACACGAGGATAAGAAAAATAAGTAGAGAATAAACAACGTGCGCACGTACGATGTCACCTTTACGTTGAATTCTACGCTCCAAAAACCCCAATATTCGGAAATTAGAATTAGAATTTGTACAATGGATTGAAGCTTGAATAGAAATATGACGATTGGAATTGATCAAGCATGTACAAAGTAAAGAAATGAGTAAGGCATTATATTTACTCTATCAACAGTTATAACAACAGCTTTGACGTCACTGGGCTTATGACAGGTAATGATCATGCGTAGTAATAAAGCCGGTTCCCGCGAAAATTCTCCACAATGAGTTTGTTATGTAACTTTTGAGAGAAAAGGGACAGTTTTCCGTTTTAGATGCTCCAGTTTGATTTATTAGAGATGCTGAGAGAACAGGAGAAAGGTCCAGAAAAGAGAAGCGTTAGCGGAGGATTTCCAGCTTCGAAATCGAGTGCGTTCGTCATCATCCCAAGTGTTTTTTTTTTCAGAGTATCTTTAAACACGCAATTAATTTATAAAAACAGAAAACTATTTTATCATAACAAGCGCAGAAGTTAATTTCCTATGAAACTTTCTTCTAAAATGGAAATGAAAAGAAAGGAAGGAAGGAAGGAAGGAAGAGAGAGAGAGAGAAAGAAAGAAAGAAAGAAAGAAAGAAATAAGGAAGAAAGAAAGTAAAAAGAGAGTATTTAATCTATTTTTAATTTAATCTATTCATAGTAATATTCAAATGATTATAATAAGTTTTCAAAATTCTCAACGAAGAGCAAATATTTTTTTTGTAAAACGTTTTAATAAAGAAACTATATATGTCACGAATTTAGTAAACGTCACAATAAATATCTTATGATGACATATGAAATCATGCGTGCTTTTGTTTCTGTTCATTCGACTTTGACAGAACATCAATTCGCACATATCGACGCATCTGTATTACGCAACTGCAAAGTTGAATACGCTAATCTACCTATAATAGCAGTAATACGAAGAATATTATATTATCTAATTCTTCAAAAAATATGAATTATATGAAGTGGATTGAACAACTTTTCGAAAAAGGAATTTTTWAAAAATCCGTTTTCAAAAATAGGATGCTTCGACGTGTCATGGAGGTTCGCGTAAGATGCGGTAGGCAGTATCGGTTCCTTGCCATGGCTGCCTGACTCTCAAGTGCAAAACCTATATTTTTGATACATCTTTGTCATTGTGACTCATCACTTTTTACTAATGATATCCTAATCGATATCTCGGACCAGCGACATGACCTTGGCCTCCCTCCGGCTTTTTGCACAATGTCACCATTAGATGGTTTAAAGTCAAAAGGTTTACTTTGCAAAGCAATARACGTTAGTGGACACAGAACGCGGATAAGGCTGACTTGAATTTTATATTTGTGCAGCAAATCTTTACAAATAATTTTGGATCGAATAAACTGAAAATATTATTTAATTCTATAGTACTGCTATCAGTCTCATTCTCTAGTTGTAGGGTGAATCATTTAAGATTAGYATACAGCTATTTCAAAAAGGTTAAATACTGAATACTGCTTACTGAATAGTGCATTCCAAGACCGAAGTGCATTGTGGGTTTCTTTGATTTGAAATAAAAAGTAAATATACATCAATTAACTGTCTACATGTAGTTAGTATATTGTTTCAGATGGAATACACTAAAAATAGAATAAATAATTATTATTAATCCTATAGACGAATGTCACTATGACCCACAATGCACTTCGGCCTTGGAATGCACTATTCAGTATGCAGGATTCAATATTCAACCTTAGCTTTTTTGAAATAGCTATATAGACCAAATTCAAAACTCGCACCGATGTGAGGCTTAAGTTGTGAACAAAGGAATCTGTCGTGATTCGTGACTTTTGAATCACGCCAGATTATTTTGAGTCACACCAGATCCCTTTATTCACAACTTAAGCCTCACATCGGTGCGAGTTTTGAATTTGGTCTATAGGATCTCGTCAACWTCTAACTAGCTTTTCAACTGTAACAGTTCATTCCTCCCATCCTTTTTTCTTTCGAATAWATATTGCTAGGGAAATTCCTGGTGTTTTTTCTTTTGTAACATGCCCCATGTCATTAACAAAGCATTATTCATTGCTTGATATGCCATCCACAGATTACTGACCCCAAACTCCAAGTTAATTGTGCAAAAATCAATTTAAAACTTTTAAAAATGCAAGTACTACATATCATTACTTGACGAGTTACTAGCCAAGTGTTTTTGGACCAACAAATATAATAAAATTAAAGAATTTTCCAATTTTCTTCCCATTTTTCTAGCCACGTTTAGTACACAAATCGAAGTAGGTTAACAAGAATATCTTACCTTCTCATGAGATCRCCTGAGGGAGTGTCAGGGCCAGCATGATGTCAGGTATAGTATTGTTGTAGCAAATCTGTGCAGTACAYATTAAATATATGAGCAGATAATTTTGATACACTTTGAGATACCAGCTTGAGATCGYCTCATATGATCCCTTAATGGTCCATTAGAAACAATCTGTTTATACTGTAATGGTATTGAAATTAAAGAAGCRCTTAAATTTAATAATGCTCAATTTTTTTCCCCGCGTGTTTTTTTCAGGTCCAGCAGTGCTGGGAAATCACTACAAGATCTCAATTTCTTGTCAGACGGATGACATCGTTCTTGTTTCTTGGATTTCAAACTTTTATTGCAGTTTATTGTCTTTGCGGRGCTCCTAACACATTTATTTTATCGTACATCTGCAAAAGAAAAATCAGTTCGAGACRTTTTTTCATTAAGTATTGATCAGTGGAATTCGTCCAAGCTGTTTCAAAACATTTCGTGGTTTTAATATCAATTACCATAATGTACAGTCTGTAAAGTATCATTCTTTGCGGCAAGAAACGTTGGGTTTTGTACTCATTACGAGAACGCGCTCAATGGATATCAGAGCTTTAAAGACTGATATCGCATAATTTTGATTTAGTCCTGATTTAACAAGATGTTTAGGACCGAGTAGGTTTCTCTGGCTTAAATGCGTGGAAAAGCTAGTTTAAATGTCAACGCAAAAATAGCTGGCTTTGAATTTACGAAAGCCGAAAGATATCATCCTTTTTTACAGTTTGAAAGAAGGCCTTTAGAGAAACAAGTAACTTAAGAAGGRTGTGTGGAACCATGGGTAATTAAAATCTAGTCGGAATCTCCAGTCCATGATGGACAAAAAGCCTAACAGGTTTTGCAACCCACTAGATAAGGCAGCCGATAGATCGAATTGGGCGATTAAAAATTGATTTTTGCGGAGGGAAAAACCCGAAAACCCAGAAAACCTAATATTCTTTTGTGCGATAGAATTAAGTTAGCTTTTTAAAATTATTATTTTATTTTCGTCAATTTTATTTACAAAAAAATGAAACTTCAGAGCTATTGCTAGTTATTCTGAAGGCGGTTTTTGTTTTTACATTTTTAAAACTTTTTTCTAAGGTCGTATCATATGATTTTGAGTTCAGATTTCCAGACTAAAAATCGTAATTCCATTTTTCCTATTTTATTCCTACCCCAACAAAACATTTTCGCGCCAAAACGCGTGAGCTCCGCGCTCATCCAGCTTTAGTATTCGTGCACCGCCTCAATAGCCGCGTATCTGTATTTCTGTATTACTGAACAAAAACTTGAATGCGCTTCTTAAAGCTTGACTTCTTAAATTAACTTAGTTAACGAGGCATACATATATGTTATTTACCGACCAGGAGGTCTGGATAGGGAAAAACTGTGCCCGAGGTCTTGAACATACGCACCGAGGCCGTTAGGTCGAAGTCCGTTTTCAAGATCGAGGGCACAGTTTTTCCTTATCCGGACCGACTATAGGACGGTAAATTCCCTTATTTATTATTTTTTTACTTGTTTTTGTAATCGTTTTGTTTCGTTGTTTAGCAGCAAAGGATAACGGACCGTGAGCGCGGGCAGATACTGACAAAATACCGCCCACTCAAACAGCCAATCAGAACGCACGATGTTTTAGGATACCGGACCGGAAAAAAATAAATGATTATATTTTAATGAGAAACAAAAGAAACCGTCCTCCCCCTCCCTGACCCTTTATTTAGCAGTTATTGAGAAAATGTAGTTCCTTTGACGAGCCATTCATGTACCAGAGTCTCGTTGTTTTGTGTGCATCATTTTCATCAAGTCCAGTACAATTTGAGCGAGAATTTGTTGATTGATCAAACTGACACCTCCATTGGCTCATCTCATTTCTGGTTTCGTAAAAATGTCCTTTTTTGGTTTTTACGTTCGCTACTGAACACCATTTACTTGAGGATCGTTTTTCAGAGAACTTCACTTCCAAAGGGATCTTTGCACCAAATACTGCACCGTGGCTAAACACCCCACTAGAACCTAAAAGTGTATCCATGTGGGATGATATCACGGCATCAACTCTGGTTAAGTGTTTGAAGAAGATTGATAGCTCAACAGGGAACTCTTTTGTCATGTGTTCGATGTTATGCGAGATGTGGATGACGAAACCTAGTTGGATTTCGATGCAGATATTCTCGATGTAGAACAGTGGAGTGCAAAGAACCTGAAAGAAACCAAATGAAACATGTTTGAAGAAGAATGCTTTTATTCCAGCCATGTTGTGACAGGAACGAAGCAATTTTTTTGTTTTTGTTTTGTTTTTGTTTTGTTTTGTTTTTTTTTTGCATGGAAAGAGGTTTCATTTCCTAAAGATGTCCGTCATTTGCCTTACAACATGGCTACTTTGAATTATTTAAACTGAATCTTTTCGTACAAATTCCCTTAAGGGAAGAATGTGTTACTTATCAATTTTACAAAACTGTAGCCAGGCGTTCCCTATGGGATAGGGGAAGACAGGGCCCCAATCTTCTCCTACCCTACAAGGAACACCTGACTAGGGAAGCTAGAAAACTTTGTCTGCATTTTTTGTTCTTTGCCGTGATTATTTCCACATATGAATATAACACATTTCTGAGCTTGGTAAACAACATGAAGCAAGCAACAAAACCAAATTCAAACTTCACCAAACTTTTTTTAACGTGAGCTGTTCACCGAGAGAAAATCTGGGGTCAATTATTCACTAAAAAATTGAAAAAAAAACCCGCACTCACCAGTGTCCCAGCATGCACCGTCCCATACTCCAACTTCTTCATCGAGTGCTTGATAAACCTTTCCTCAATCTCCTTCATGGTATATGTCTTGCTAAGAACTTGAAATCTGTGCTCACCAACATTCAACGATAGATCCATCCGAATAACCCACTCAGTCTTGTCGTCTCTAGTGCTGACCACTTGTACCTCGTGTTCCAATACTCCTTTAAACTCAAGCCCAAAGATCCTTTGTTCGATTATTTCCTTCTTTTTCTTTGGACGAACGTTAGACTTGGCATACGATATGACGTCCCAGACCGTCTCGAGGTCTTCCCCCGTGTAATGGGGGCGTTTTGTACCCCCTTCGGGCCAAAAAAGACGTCGCTTGTCTCGGTGGCCATCATCCCGCGGTTTTCTCGAAGACTGAGGGTTTGTTTCGAGAGAGCGCCTCTTGCGATCATCGAAGCTTGGCCAACGAAGATGAAGGAAAGGGAAATGAGAAGAGAAGGAAAATGGAATGGGAGGTGGGAATTTGTACTCATTATCATGATTATCATCGCCTTCATCATCATCGTTCCATAGGCGATCGAAAATATCACTGAAAAAGCTTTGTTCGTGGCTTGGTGTGGTGCTTGCAGTTGGCGTGACATTTTGAATTTTTTTGCTTTCTCTATTTTTGGTTGGACTTTTAGTTCCCACTTGATTAAGAAAATGAGGTTTATTCTCTCTATTATCAGCTTCTTTTCCTTTTGCTTCCTCCTCCTTCTTCTTCTCCTTCAGTTCTTTGAGAACAGTTCCTTCTGGCGAACTGTGTTCCACCCGACTTTTTGGCTCTATCCTTTCCTTATCTTTATTACCATCCTTCTCGAGGTTTGTAGGATTTCTCAATTCAGTTTTTCTGTTTACAGGAATATCATCCTTTTTTGAAGGTTTGGTAGCCTCTGCATTGTTCTTTGGTTCATACATTTTGTTGTCCTTGTTCTTTGTTGTGTCGGTTGGTTGGTCATCATCATCAACTTCCTCATCATTATCTTCTGGTCCCCGATAGTCGTCATCTTCATCGTTCTGTGAATCACGGTCTTCAGGGTACATCGGCACTGCAAGTCCACTTCTGTTATTCCATCGTTGATCATCACCATCATATCTATCTTCGTCGTTCGGGCCCTCATCATCTGCCATCCCATCATCATCATTCCTGTCATCATTTGATTGATACCTGTCATTTTCGTGCCATTTTTGGCGACTTTCTTGTTTTCTCATCGGTTTATTCAGCCATTTTTTGTCATCCACAGACTCCAAATGTCCCATCTTCTTTTGGCTTTTTTCAGCAGCGGCAAAATTCACCTCTTGTTGTCCAGGTTTCACAATCTTATGGAAACTTTTAGCAAATTCAACGACATCTTTATCCTTCGGTGCGCTGTGCGAAGAAGACGTTAGACTCAGCATTTCTTGAACCTTCTTAACTACATTGGAATTCTCGTCGTATTTCTTGTCCGTTGGGAAAAAGTACCTCAGACGGGCGTGGTTTTCTTTAGATGATGGTCGGGGAAGCTTAACGTAGTTATCGTTGTCCTTCATGTTTTCTTTAAGTTTTTTTGAGGTGACTTCTTCAACAAACCTCAAGGAGCTTCTGAACTTCATCCTTATTCCAGGATTAGAGCCGAGATCTTGCTCAATTGGGATTTTTGCTTCGAGTTCAACATCACTTGTTTTTAACATCCCAGAAGATTTACTTATGGAGGCGTCTTCTTCGAATGTCATCTCGATGCGAGGTAAATCTGGTCTCGTTTTAGTTGATCCAAAAGCAGTGAACCATTCAGGTTTGATTTTTGACGTGAAGATTATCTGCCCTTCACTTGAACGAATGTTCTGTTCCATGGTCGCAACACCAGGAAAGAGAACAGAGTCCTGAATTGTAACTTCATGCTTTCTAGTCGTGGTTTGACTCAAAAGTATCTCAAACAGATCTAGTTTAACAACTGGAATGAGTTGAAACAGAAAGTTGTAAATATAGAAATCCATTTCCCGACTTCTTTCAGTCTTGCCCAAAGTAAACACGCTAAATCGTTCCTCTTGCCCGAAGTTCTTAGAGTTTTGTTTATCAAGGTCGACGCGGACTAAGAAAGAAAATTTTTGATTTCTAGAACTTGGCAGCGAGTTTATTTTGACTTTAAGCCAATATCGATTGCCTGTCTTGTTGACGACGTGAACAAAAACATCTTCGGCGAAAGATGAGCGGACTTCTTTCACTCCATCGTAGATTGACTCTTGTTCTAGTTTGTAACGTAAGGTCTGTTCTGGTTTAATCTTTAGTTCCAAAGAAACAGTCCTCGACTTGAGTAAGAAATAAATCCCCACCACTGTCGCACCTAACAAGGCCAAAAAAACTCCAAAACAAAACAGTTTACGGTAAAAGGTCGATCGTCGCCTTCGAATAGGGAACTGGACTTTCGAGTTTGGGACGTGACGTTTCTGCTCTTCGTCGCCTTCAAGTTCGAAATCTTGTTCAAAATAATCATCATTTGCTGTCTCAAAAAGAGCTTCGTTGAGGAGTTTCTCCTCCGCTGGATCAAGATCAGCCATGTTTTTCATGTCTTAAAAGTGCAGTCAACAATAATTTAAAATGGATTACCGATTTTCAAATCACATCGTTTCGGTGCTGATAAATAATTAAACTAGCGTGTTGTTTTTGCTGGTGTGCAAGCTCTCAGCCAATCAGAATCGTTCAAGATTGTCAAGTTTCTTATTTCACAGGCGGAAAATAACGCGGATCACGTGGCATGAGCTGTAATTTCTGGCTCGTTTTGCATCATCGTTATAAATGTTATACATGTTTTACATTTTATAAATCGTTATACATGTAGCTTGGTAGGGCAACCTTACTGCAAGGGCTAATAGACGCTCGAGGGTCCCAAAATAATGGTTCCAAGTTTATACAGTAAATGAATGAACAAACCTCAAACCTCCACTTGGAATGATTGCTTGGTGGTCACTCAATAGCCTGCGCCACATCCGGAATTTTCTTCGTTAGCAACAGGGGCACCCTAACTTAATGCAAATGGAATCTTAGCTTCCGAATATGTATGCAAAGGAAATTGTAGGTGCTTTACCAACCATACTAAAAATGTAAAATTCTGAACATTTTTGTCAGACTTCTAGCATTACTTTTTCTAAATTCAACATCCCAACAATTCTAGACAAGAAAAGGTCATCAATCTACTGCTGAGAAAATGTAGACACGACACCTCATCATATTTCTTTAAAAGACCTTTTCTGAGAAAGAGGACATGGTTCATTGTGGTCTAGCTTGGGTACAAACATCTTTCATTCATGTCTTAATATGGTGGTGGTACCTAAGCTAGACCATAATGCATCATGTTTGTTGAAGCAAAAAAAAAAAAAAAAGAAGCCTACAGTATGTCCAATTGCCATGCAATAATAAAAGGACACTTATAACCCCAGCATTAGCCTGGAAACATTCTCACCCCCCCCCCCTCCCCCCCAAGAGTTAGAACAAAAATAACTGATATTATTTACACCAAATTTTTATTTATTAGGAGAAGATCAGGGTTTATGATGCAGCAGGTTTCTTAGCTTGTGCCTTGAGTACTCTGACGACGATCTTCTGCTCTTCAATCAAGAAAGCACGGACAATCCTGACATATGGATTAAAATAAATAATTTTAATGGTTCATACTCTTATTGCATATTTTATTGCATATATATTGCTCTTTTACTCCGACGAAGGACTAGCATCCAAAGCTTCAGTAAGTTTTTTCATCTTTACATGGTGTATAATTTACCTTTTTATCATTACTGCTTCATTAGAAACACTGACGCAGCTTACGCTAGTTTTTAGCTAGTTAGCTCTGCATATGCAAATAGGTGATTTACAATAACAGTTCTTGTGATGCCAACCCCCACCAGTGCTCATGCATGAAAGAGCTTCGAGAACGATGTACACAAACAATAATATAGAAGAGCAATGCATTGAAGTCGACCAGGATTTAAGTCAAAAGATGATCCTGAGTAGTATTAGTGCTATTAGTAGAGATAACCCTTTATTATGACCAGTTTTATGAATCTGCAACCTTACAGACTCAAGATGTTTGGAGTTATGGCCAATCAAATTTGCCACGGCTGCATTCCACTCATGAGCAATAAATATTTTGTGGGAATGTTTATTGCTCATGATCGAAATTCACTCTGAGCTACCACAGTATTTCAGTGCTATCCCAGGTCAATCATTCCTCATTTTCACTCTTACTGGATACAGAGAAACTCACCTTTGACGCACACAGGCAGCACATCGTGATCCACCATAAGCCCTGGATACATTCTTCTGAGGCTTGGAGATTTGCATCAGCTTCTTTGGTCGCATGGCAGGCAGCTGCAGCATGCAAAATATCAAGTTAAATTTAACCTTTGAATAGACCATGGCTCAAAATAATGGCAGTTCATGATGAGCAGCTACATTGGATTTAGCTCGGTCATAGCTTGTTTATCGTACAACGCTATTGGTCAATATGACAAGCAAGGCAAAGATTCTACCAGACAAGTTCCAATTATGGCCAGGCATTGTCCAATAATCAGCTGCTATTTTTAGCCCTGCAGACCATTTTAGCTGTGGCATATTGTTCTGTCTTTCAGACCATGTGTCATTCCCTTGAGAATAAGATTTCTCCTGCATGACACATCGTAAAATAGACCATATGCTATTTGCTGTAAGTTTCATTCACATCAATGTCAGTGGAGAAAATAACTGTAATGTCTGGACAAAATTGACACACATCAAGCTCTAAGAACTCCTCTTAAGCCAGTCCTCTAGACCCGTCACATCTGATCAGTCAAATCTGGCCAGCCATTATGTCTGGCCAGATAAGCATGCATTATATTCACCCTGTAATGTATCTAATCAATCCTTACTAGTATATAGAGATAATACTCATGGGAAAGCAACAAATGAGGTCTTTATGTGGCCATGTTATGGAGTACTTACGCCCTGGAGTTTCTTTTTACAGTCTCCACATTTAGGAACTTTTCCCTGTTTCCTGGTATACAGATAAACGAGTTTACCACCTAGATATAAAAAAGGAACAAATATGAGATCAACAACTATCTACTACTAGAAAGGCAAAATCTCATAAGTTCACTGTCATGTTACATAATTCACAGGAAAATTCAAGGATAAGCTTTGTAATAGACCTCTCTAGCTTGAGCGTCATGTTTTCCCATTATAGACCATATGTCATTCCCTTGAGAATAAGTTACTTTGTTTGAGTTGTATCCATATTCATGTGTTCTCTCGTGCACAAGTGTTACAAAGGAATAATGCTATAGGGAATGACATATGGTCTAGAATGGGAAAACATACCCAAACTAAAAATTTCTAATCGATATGATTTACTTATATAAAAGCAAATAGACTATGACATTACATTACAAAGATATTAACTTTCCTCCATAATCATCGAGAAATTCAGTACTGTGTACTTCATACTTTCCTTGAATCCTTAGTGCTAACGGTAGTGTGACAACTCTGATTGAACATGCACTACTGACAATCCAATCAATTTATCTTACGGCACAAAAACCTTACAATCAGTGCATTACCGGCCTACGTAAACCTATATTCTAAAGCTAAATTTCACAAGTTTATCGTTTCTAATAGTTTCGTATAATAACAACATTTCGATAGGACAATCTTATTTACCTGGAGTTTTGGAACTGCAAATTTAATGTTTACGATCCAGCATGAAAGAAAATAAATGTTGACAAAAGAGATGAGTTAAAGATTCTACACTATAATCGTTAAATCCAATTGAAGACATATAAAGTTCAAGAATTATACATACATTCGTCTCCTGTTGGACTTGGTGTTATAAGAAAGACGTCTCCTGAACGTCAACCGCAAAGCCATCTGAAAAATAAATCCACACATAAATACATGAGATACCCTAAAATACAAAGAGCTTATAAATTAGAAATAATCTTAAACGATGTTCAAGAATTTTGATGGATTCTCTATCATATTTTTCGACTCACCTTGTCGACTTTGAGAGAAGAGAAAGAGAAGGATCGAGAGTGCTCGGTGCATTATGGGAGTCTACCACAGGTAACCCAAGTCAAATAATTTCTCCCGATAAAAATTCAATTAAAAAATGTTCTATTTATATAAAAAAAACACCTATTCAAAGGATAACATCCATTTATCCCTTTTTGAGTGGTTTTCTAGCTACACTTGTACGACATTTTTGCTTAACTTTTTAACATGAACTTTTAAAATTACATGTTTGGGCTCCCTGTGGATATTTCTTGCACGTGTTGACTTCTTGTGTTTTGCACAAATATTGAAGAATTTTCTTGGATAATGATTGCTAAAAAATTCCCTTTTTAGACAAGGAATTCTACGCTGCAAGGTTATTTTAAAGACTTAGTTTGATTCCTAAGCCTTTCTGAGGTCGTTTGAAATTGAACTTATCAAATATGAGGCAAAATTGTTCAAAGTAATAAGTAGTTCGAGTGAAAATGTCTTCATTGTACAACGTTGATTGTCAACGAGAAGAAAATTCTAGTCCTGATCAAAGGAATAATTCAAAAGAAGAAGCTTTATCTAGTACTAATGGACAGGAGACAGTTATATCTAATGAAGAGCTTGCAGATTGTGCTACTTTGAAAGAAGATGTTGATAAAGACATACTCCCAGAGAAAGCTCCTTTACCTGATGTGGAACAAACAGTTGTTGAATTAGTGTCTAAAGTTGATGCAATTGTTGCTTATGAAAAAGAAAAATTGAAAAGTAAAGACATTGGAATACTTGAAAGCTCTTTGAAAAATAGTGACACTGAAAAAAGCAATGAAAATGAGATGGTTGGAACTACAGAAAGAAGTGATACAGGAGTGTTGTCTGATGTACTTGGAATTGTTGAAGAAATCCTCGTAAAGGTTAATGAAAATGTAGATAAACAATGTGAACAATCAAGCATTTCTATGGAATGCATTGATGGTAATCAAAATAAGCATGGTGAAAAAAGAAGTTATTCGGAGGTAATAGAGGATGATGTAATGACTGATGTGCCGATATTAGATGCAGCAAAGGATAGCTTATACATTATGAGTTTAGTCGAAGCAGAACTTGAAGCAGTTGGCCAAGGAATTGAAGTGAATAACAACAGAAAAGATAAACCAAGACTTGTGGATTATGATGATGACGATGATGATGATGATTCTAATGAATCTAGTGATGACGAATCATCTGATACAGAATCATCAGACTCGGACAGCACAAGCAGCGAAGATAGTTTTACTATACAAAAGTAAGTACAATTGTGTCATCCACTTCCTATCACACACCCACCCAATTTGTTTTCCCATTCCAACCCAGAATTCATTCCCATTCATTCCACTCAGCTTGTTTTCCCATTCCAACCCAGAATTCATTCCCATTCATTCCACTC